AAGATGGAGAGTATGGATGGGATTTTGTTTAAGGGTCAAGACATTTGGGTGTTGAATGTTTGAATAAGTGAAACAAGGGGAAAGGTTAGTGTTATTAGGGGGGCTTTAGTGTAATTATGGAATTGGGTGAATCTTTAAGAGGTCATTTGTCCTTTTGGTCATTCCTTAGATGATATATGTGTGTGTATGTATTTAATGTAAGGAGAAAAATGGAGAAGTGTTGTGTTTTTGGAATTTATCGATTTTATCTTCCAAATATCAAAATGGAGCAAGAACCTCTTGCATGCTTGAGCTTAAGTGGAAAAATTTTCTTGAAAACTTGCATAATCCATGTGTGTCTAAGAAATTGAGTGGTGGTTGTGATTGAAAGGCTAAGAAATCCAAAGTTCTTGAGTGAAAGCTCAGAGAAGTTCGACGGAGTTAAGCGGCAATGAAGGTAAATGAAATCTTGCAAATTTATATGTTTTTCAACCTTTAGAAGTATCCTAGTGGTGTGGGTTGTGGTTGGGTAGTATTGGAATGGAGTTTTGAAAGTGTAAGAAAAAAAGTTGGGTTTTGGGTTGTGAATTTTAGTTGTGAGGGATAGTTTGGGTTTTAGTTTTGATTTTGATGTGGGTATGCTACTAGTATAGATTTTGATTGGAAAACATGGTTATGATTGATGGTTGGATTTTGGAAAATGTGGGGTTAGAAGAGAAGGAAGAAGATGGAACTTGAATGGATTTTTGTCAAACTTCTACCAGTAGGACAATGTTTTGTCAAGACTTTTATTGGTAGAAAGGGGTGACCTATCGATAGAACAAAATCCTGTGACATGTTCTACTGGTAGGAAGTGAAGACCTACCAGTAGGATGCAGTTCTGCCTGACTTCTGTTGGTAGGAAGTAGTGACCTACCGGTAGAATAACATTATGTAAGATATTTTACAGATAAAACTTCTACTAATCTACCGGTAGAAACATGAATCTTCCCCATTTTTTTTGTACTGTCTATATCCATTATCCACTCAACCTTAAAGCTTATTTAAACATTTTAATGGGTTGAATCAATTATAATTGAATGTGGTTCGATATATAATGGTAAATATAGAAGGGTATTAAGAAGGTATCAGGTTAAACTCGATTAATCAACTATGTATGTGTATCATAATATTATATATTTTGTAAATAATATTTATGTGGCGATGTATATTAGGTGAAAAGATGATGACGCCAACATCGGCTTCACCTAAGGCTACATAAACGGATTGAGTCTAGGTTGGAATTTAAACCGAGGTGAGTGTCTTTTTTCATGTGACAGACAATAGTTAAAGTATGCCTATGTGTTATTTATGTATGAGCGTGAAGCCTATTGACTTGAAATAGTATGTGCCTCTTAGGTGGTGAATTTAATCTCAATGGTTTATACCAATTATTAGTATTGAATATGTTGTGAGTTATTGATTGTCAATGATTATGTGAAGGCTTAAAGCCTTACTTACGTGCAAAGAGAGCCTATTGGCTAATATAGCCCATGAAGGACAATTGTTTGGTCTTAGTGGTGATGGTGTGGCCTTAATGGCCTTATGTAGCCTTATTGGCGAATTATAACTAGAGGACAAATATAGCCTTAATGGCTAAATTGTGACATTAATGGCAAATATATGTGTGAATACGTGACAGTTATTTACGTAATGGTTTGACAATGTTATCTGTTGATACTTATATGTTAAAATGCTAGTGCGTGACATATTTTTTGTTATTATCTGTAAAATGAATGCATACATTCATTATGTGTTAAGCTCTCCCCCCCCCCCCCCCCCCCGACAAAGTTTATGATTTTCAAGGAATTGAGATAAGAATGAAATCCATTGTTGAGTCCTAGAGAGTCAAGAAATTTAAAGTTGAGACATGATGTCATATGCTACAACTTCAAATATGTAAACCCAAGCGCCGGTTGTGCGAAATAATATAAACTCGGAAGATCAAGGTCAAATTCCTCAAGGAATTGTGAAAACACTATAAATTACACTAAATTATGCGAAAAGCTTGTGAAGATGTTTTGTTTAAAAGAGTAGTTGAATTGATAAAATTGAATAAAATAAGTAAAACAGCATGAAAAATACTAGAGCATCAGGTATTTCCTCTCAAATCCATATAATAATGATTAAAGACTTAGTTTTCAAACTTAAACAAGAATCAAGTGTTGATTGATTATAGTCACCAAATTTAGCAATAAGACCAAGAAAACACCTTTGTTTGTAATCAAAAATTTATTTAGGAAAATCAATGAATTGGTTTTAGTCATAAGTATTTATCGTGCCCAAAGTCTACAATAAATCAAACTCTCCTAACAATCAAATTCATGACTTACCAGAGTAATCCTTCAATTATATTATTATGTGAAATAATTGCAATCAATTTAAGCATGGAATAACCAATTATTTGACTCGTAGAAAAATTTAAGTAATCAAAGTATAAGACACAATGACTCAAGAATTTTTACAGAGAAAAAATTTACTATAAATCAAAAGTTGAATTAGTAAAATATCACATATCATTAAACTCATAAGTCAATAACATTACCGTATTTCATTGAGAGGTTCTCTTCTAGCCCCAACTAAACCTCTCAGCCAGATATGAGAACAATGAACCAAAGAATAAAAAATTAAGAAAATTTGGGAACAAATCTAATTATAATTGAATTCTACTACTGGCATTGGCAGATTGGCGACACGCATCCAGACGCATGCTGTCTTCCGTCCGAACGTGCTTTCCAGTATATCCCATTTCTTTAGCCTTCAGTTTCTGCCTCTCACATCCGGACGCTATGCATTCCACCGTCTAGATGCGATTTCCAAAGTGCTCCTATGCAGCTTTGCTTCTCTTTCTGCTTCATGTAATCCAATTTTCAGCCATTTTATTGCAAAATAAACACAATTCATCTTTTATTAACATATCATCAATTCTTTAATATCTCATCACACTAACCAACTTTTCCTATCCAAATAATTGATATTTTTCAACAAATAATGTAATTATGAAACTTTAATCATCATATTTTGTAAACGGTTGGATATGTAAATTGGTACACTTGTTAGATGTCAAGTTTAAGTACTTGATAAAGGGTTGAGTAGGGTTTTTTTGTAAATTTATGAATTTAACTTTGTGTATATGGCCTAAGCAAGTATGTGAATATGATGACCATTGTCTGTGTTATGGATTATTTATTATCATGCACAGTGTGATAGGTTATCAGTTTGTAAATGGGATCCACTCTACTGGAATAAACTATAAATGTATGCAATATCCGGAGTAGGATGTGACAGAAACTATCAATTGTTGGGAAAGTTATAGTAGCAGCTCATTACCACACCCAAAAAAACTTGGGGGGTTAAATATAAGTGAAAGGTCTTAATATATGAGTCGCCTCATTATGTATAGCCTAAACATTTTGTTGTGTATGAGTTACAAACATCTGAAAGAGGCCCTCTTGTGATTGAATCCCTATCTCTTAACCAGTGATATCAAACTAATCTAAATAGATTAGTTCTAACAAATGGTATCACAACCAATAACTAACAAACCTGTTGAGCTCTCCAAACAGTGTTTAGAGAGTCGGAATTGATAATGACTTTTAAAGATGAATGAGATGACCTTATGGAGTTGGAGTCACAGTAATGATCGACTAGTTTTTGGCCCAACCTCTACCCAATAATGATGTGATGTCCCAAAAAAATTGTCACGAGTCACTCAGTTTTTCCATAATAGAATGGTGAAGTCTATGGCTGAATAAAAATCCATAATCGAGCGCGTAGATCAACTGGCTTGGGGTTGTTCTAGCTTAACCAAGGTCTTCGATTCAAGACTTGGGAATATAGCTGTGGTTAAATACTCGGTAGTGAGAGTTTTGCCGCCCTTATGGTCCTACTTGGCTCCAATCTGGATTAGTCGGAGCCCGTTGTGGCTACCAAACACCGAATGGTTTAAACCAAAAAAAAAAAAGTAATAAAAATCCAAACCAATGGCTTTTGATATTCATTGAATTTACGAGCTTTTTGGTAAGAGCCAATGATCTAATGAAAGTCTTTACGAAATTGATCATTTAAATGCTTCAATCACTTTTGCTCAAAAAATAATGCTTCAATCACTTGGTATTTTTTGCACTAGGAAAAAATCTATGATAAGCATGAAGTAACTTCCAGCCATACTAATATCTTAGAGAGGTCCTAGACGTAATCACAATGTTGCTCATTCGTGTGGCTTAAGGTTTAAATGTGTACATATGACTTTCCCCAACTCGAGAGAAAAGGGATTCATGCATTAGACTATCTTCTACTTAATTGAAAAACGAAATGATTCCAAAAAAACCCCTCTTAAAGAACTAGACTGATATTTTAAAAATGTGAAAAATTAAGAAATAAATAAAAACCAAATTTCAATTAGATGATTTATGAAAAATAAAATTATTGTTTTTTTATTTTAATGTGAATTTCACTTTTATGTCATTTAAGGATATAAATAAACATTGTATGTATTTTGACAAAGTGAAGCTACCAAAGAGGAGAGCACATTGTAAAGTTGAGACTTCCATTACCTTTCTATTGCTTAAAAATAGTGCAACATTTTTTTTTATATAATTAAAAAAGGGTAGGGGTAAAGCCAAAGAAAACGCCCAGAAACCACCCGATAGACCTTCACTGGTGGGATCGTGAGACCCTTAACCGCGCTCGTTATTTCTTTTACAAACGAACCTAACTAGGCTAGCATATCGATCAACCATTCAACCCTAATGTGGACTTCAAGACTCAAACTTCTAACCTCAATGTGAGAAATTCGACCGGTATCCCACTCAAGCACCCCATTCAATGGTAAAAATAGTGCAACATATTATGTCAGTAAATAAGGTCAATTTTTTTTGTTTCAATAACATTACTATTTTATTTTTATAATTAAAAGTTGGGTGCATATATTAGACCATTCTACAATGGGTATGACTATCTTTTACCCAAGACAAAAACACTCAGTATCTGAACTTGACCAAAATGAACATGGAAATACTAACCTTCATTCATACACTCAATAGTTGTACATATATAACATCAAACACCATCCAATCCAACCATTCAAAAGTTCTATTACCACTTTCATTACTTGTAAACAAGTGGGGAATGTTTATTACCACTTAAACTAAGCCAGCCTTACACATGAAACTATCATCTTTCAAACTATAGCTCAAACCAATCCTTTAGGCAATGCGCCTACACAAAGTAAGGCCATCACCAATCGGAATCAGAGAGATTTCAACACGACAATCGGAGGCTAAAAGAATGTTGACATCCATTATGGCTTTCCGGTTGCCCCGGAATTGCTCCGGCACTTCATTTTCTGGGGTAACAACTAATTCTCGATAGAGAGTGTTGTCATAAGCAATAACTCCTCCGACCTTCACCAGTTTGATTGCTTGTTCATGGTAATTGATGTAGTTTGGCTTGTCAGCATCCACAAACACAAAGTCAAACATCTCTGCACCTTCTCCCTAGAAAACATGACTGAAATATTTAGACAGTCATGTAGAAGTGGCTCACATTTTACTTTCACGGTCGGAAAGGCTACCATAGCGTGACGAAACATATGATTCAATTACAACTCAAACAAGTCATTACGACTTCATAAAGAAGACGATGACGAATCCCCAAAACTAGAGATCGACAGGAAAGGCTACCTAGAAACCTACATTTCAGCACCCTAACAAAGATTATGATTTCATCTGATCACTCAATCGTGGATAGATGAGGATTAATCCCCCAAATATGAGATCGGGATTGGTCCCCAACTTTTTTTAACCATATTTGGGTCATAACTTGATTGAATTAAACTGGAATTTTTTTAATTTTTCGGGTACGATACCAAACTGGTACCGAAAACTTCTTCTACATGTAGTTATCAAGAACAATCAGGAACCATTTTTAGGACTAGAGGCACATCAATGCATGCTGGGTTAGGGAAAGAAATAATAGGCAAACTTAATCATTGTGGAACATAGTTCCTTCACAATTCTTTATGTTTTTGAAAATTTTTCAATTATGCAGGCTTTTAAAAATTAATTCTAAGAATTATGGAATAAAGAATGCTTCAAAAACAAAATAGTTAACAAGAATTTGGGACAAAATAATGTGCTAGTGGTGGTTTTCTAATATTTTTGTTGGGTAAATTACACTTTATCCCTTAAATTATTACCTTTGTTTTGCTTTATACCTTTAACTCTAAAAGTTCTCATGTCACATCCTAAAGTATTAATTTTATTTCATATCATTCCAATAGATAACGACTGTCAATTTTTTGATATTAAATACGTATGTGAGTGGTCGGTACTGCTAATAAACAACTACCTATTGGGTCAAAAATCAAGAAAAATACCCATCAATAACTTTGTCCTTCCTAAACTCCAAATTTTCTTCCTTTGGCCTACCTTTTTTTTTTTTCTCAGAAACTATTTGGTTGCAAAAGATGTAAAATAAAGTGATATTAGGCATTTGGCGGGAAGCTCTTTTGGGATTTCCCTCCCTCATTTGACAAATATTCAAGTATGCCGTTATCTATTGGAGTAATATGAAACAAAATTAATACTTTTAGGTACAATGTGAAAAATTTTATAATTGGGGGTGTAAAGTAAAATAAAGATAATAGTTCAGGGGTAAAATATAATTTACTCATTCTGTTTGTATAGCATTAATCTTAAACCCTTAATCAAAAAGTGCACATGCATTAAAACCAAATCCATTACCATTCAGGGGCTGAATAGCACCATGTGACCTTAAATAAAAAATGAACTCTCTACATTGTCGAAGTACTTACATTGCTCGACATCTCATTTAAAGCAGAAAAGGCATCTGATTGAATGAAGCTGATTTTGTGCTCCACACCAGCCTTTCGAATGAATGGTAATCCAAATTCATAAGCTTCTCCATCTGGGTCTATAGCTATTATCTGTATCGAGATAGACCCAAAACATAAAAAACACAATTGAACCAACAAAGGGAAAAAAAAACAACTTTTTAAACAAGATTCATACATAAAAATGGGTAGCTCAATTGAAAATACAAGAAATTCTCAGAGAAAAGATGAAAAACATATAAATAAATTGATAGACCTCTTCTTATTTGTTGCGGAAATAACCCAGAAATCGATCGGGATCGAAATTGACACCCATTCGAGTGAAAAATTAAAAGAACAATCACACAAGACAAATAATTTACTTAGTTTGGCTACCAATTTTAGAGTCTACATACACGACAACAATGAGCTTGAATGTTCACAATGAAGTAAAATAGGAGTACAAGAATAACCGTTACAAACCTCACATGCATTCACTCCAATAGAAGAGGATTATTTTGATATCTCACTAGTATCACTCACAAATGTAATAACACTCAGATTTGATCGATATAGCACTCATTGAAACTCTTATGCTTGAACACTTCAACTTCCAATTTTCTCATGCTTGAGACAGTGGCAGAACCTCCTTTTATATAGGGAACTAGGTGAGGAAGCAGACAACACGTCAAGTTTGTGAAAATCTGATACAATTTGCGCATGAATTAGCCGTTCACATGCAGCCCACATCCCTCGACTTTAAGCAACCAACCTTTTTTGAAATATGATGTCAAATCTTAATTTCTTGCCAAAGTCATAAAGGCTTTGAGGCCACAAAAGTCAACAATTCTCTACCTTGTCTTGAAGCCACTCAAGTCATTTGAAAACTCTTTTCCGATGATAGTATCTGATGTGCCTCGCAAGATGCTCAAACTTGAAGGATATTCATCAAATCTAAGCAATATTCCACTTTAGTTAACATATCTTTTGTGCCAACTTTTTGTAGCTTGGTTCTAACATTATGAACTTGGTGTTTCACCAAGTGATGACACTCTGACTATCACAAAAGATGCTAACATGATTTTGTGATATTCCTAAATCACCAATCAAACCCCCGAGCCATTGACTACCTTAGTCATTGCCATATACATTGCTTCTGTTGTTGACAAGACCACGAGCTAATGTGAAAATATATCTTGTTGTGGACCTTCACTTATCCAAGTCACCAGCATAATTAGAATGCACATAACTACTGATATGAGACTCTGAACTATTGTCTCACTGATACACCATTTCTATAATTGGAGTACCACATAAACACCTTAATAACCATTTCACAGCCTATTAATGTTCCTTACTAGTATTTGTCATGTATCTGCTTACTTCATTGACTACATGTGAAATATCTGGGTGAGTGCATACCATAGCATACATCACGCTTCTCACTGCGCTTGCATATGGAACATAAGACATACACTCACCCACCTCACTGCTATTTGGAGACATAGCTACTAATAGTTTTAAATGGGCAGCTAAAGGAGTACTCAGAGACTTTAAGTTCTCCATACTGAATCGAGAGAGATTCTTCTCTAGATACTTCCGTTGTGACAAACACAATTTCAACCATTCTTCTTCTTTATTAGAATTTCCATGCCAAGAATATTTTTAGTTGTATCCTACATCTCAAACTCTCTATTGAGTTAAAATTTTAATTTGTTGATTTCATTCACGTTCTTAGCAGCAATGAGCATGTCATCCACATACAAAAACAAGTACAATATTAAACAATCTGGTAGTTTCTTAAAGTACACACAATGATCATATTCACTACTAGTGTAACTCTTCTTTAACATAAAAGTGTCAAATCTCTTGTATGAATTTCTCGGCAACTGCTTCAGTCTGTACAATGACTTCTTTGTTTGCACACATGAAAATTATTTACCAACAACCTTGAGACCTTTGGGTTAAATCATGAAGATTTCTTCCTCCAAATACCCAAGGAGAAATGTAGACTTAACATCTAGTTTTCCAACTCAAGGTCAAACAAAGGTATGATGGCCAATAACAAATAGATTGAAGTGTTTCACCACTGGCGAAATTACCTCATTATAGTCCACCCTTTCTTTTTTAGCATATCCCTTGGCTACCAATCATTCTTTGTATCTAAAACCATCTCTTCCTGGAGAACCTTCCTTTTTTGCATACACTCATTTGCACATAATTGCTAGGTTCCCCTTTGGCAATTCAACAAGCTCCCAAGTATGATTCTTGTTAGGAGAATTCATCTCCTCATTCATGGCGGTTATCCATTCCTTGCAATTATTGACATGTTGCCTCTTGGGACATAGTTGGCTTATCACCCACCATGATAAGTGCATAAGATAGCATACCTTCAATACCACAACGAACTAGTGCTTTGATTATCCTTCTAGTCATTATAGGTGCTAAAGACTATTTGTAGTAGCACTTTTGACGTCCCTTTGTTTGGAACAATATCTTTTGGACTACCAAGCTCCATATTCACTGGATCACTCTTTTCCTCCTCCATATAAATATACTGGTGCCTGCTAGAAGTTAGTATAGTAGACTCATCAAAGGCCATATCCTTGTTGATCACAAACTTGTGCAATTTAAGGCACCATAATCTATAACCCTTCACTCCAGTTGTATAACCAAGAAAGATTCTCTTCATAGCTCTTGGGTCAATCTTATTTTCTTTGACATGAAAGTAAGTTGAACACCCAAAGTCTCGAAGGGAACTATAATCAATTGGCTTGCTTGGCCATACTTCAAAAGTAGTTTTAAATTTAATAATTGTTGATGATGATCTATTGATGAGGAAGTACACCATATTGACAGCCTCAGCCCAAAACTCTCTACTCAATCTAACATTTATAGCATACATTATGTTCTCTCCAATAGGATTCGACTCATTAGTTTTGTAACCCCATTCTGTTGTGGTGTTTCTTTTCTATGAAGTGCCTTGTAATGCCTTCATCTTTACAAAACTTCAAAAATGGTTCATATGTGTACTCATTACCATTGTCGGTTCTCAACCACTTGATCTTCCTACCGGTTTGCTTATTGACTATGACCTTCCACTTCTTGAATGTTCAAAGCATTCATCCTTACTATTTAGAAAGTACACACATACTTTGCATGAGAAGTTATGAAAAAAGAGAACAAAATATATTGATCCCCCTTTTGAGGTTACATTTGAGGGACCCCAAACATCCGAATGCATATAGTCAAAAGTGCATTTTGTACGTCAAATAGTTGTCCTAAACTTCACATTGCACTGCTTTCCAAAGACCACTAAGCATGCCTCGCTTGATTAACACATCTAATCCCTTCTCACCCATAGCCCAAATGCATATACCATAAGTGAGAGGAGATTGAATCACTGTATCCTAATGTCGACACCGTTGTGTCATCAATTAATGTACTTCCAGATAAACACACATACAGATTTCCTATCTTTCCCTTTTTCATTACGACCAGAGCACCTCATACAACTTTCAAAACTCCACCTTGCGCCACAATCTTATAATCATTGGAATTTAATCCACCCAACGAGATAAAATTTTTCCTCAAATATAGAACATGTTTGACTTATACTAAGGTTCTCACAATTCTACCGTGCATCTTGATTCTGATGGTTCCTACCCCAACTGTTTTATAGGCCATGTTGTTTCCCATCAAAATAGTGATGCCATTCACTTCTTTGTAGGAAACAAACCAGCCCTAATTTGGACTTATATGGTATGAATAAGCAAAATAATGAATCAGTTCGTCTTATGCATTAATTTTGTGAAGCGAAACTAACAGAATATTTTTGGAATTATCCAAATTTTCTTTAGCATCACCGATTGTGTGAGACACCTTACCTTTGTTCTTCCGGTCCTTAAACTTACACTTTAGACAATTTACTTTCTAATTCCTCTCATTGTGATACTAGTGACATTGACAATTCTTTTGATCTTTAGATTTAGATTTAAATATGGATATGCTACCTCCATGATTTTTGTTCTTTGTCCTCCCTCTGACAAATAGACCCTCTGCCTATGAGTCATTACCAGGAGTCAAGTTTTTGTATTCATTTAAAAAAGTGATGTCCAATCATCATCATAGTCAGTAGTATCCTTTTCGAAGATCAATGTGGTGACCAGATGCTCGTACGAACTGGGTAGCTAGGACAATAGAATCAAAACTTTGTCTTCAACTTCCAACTTAAAGTCCAAGTTTAGTAATTCGAAGACAATTTTACTAAACTCGTTAAGATGTTCATGCATGCATGTACCCTCCTTCATACAAAACATGTAATAGTTGTTTTTTTAGGTATAATTGGTTGGCAAGAGACTTTGTCATGTAGAGAATTTCTAACTTCAACCAGATCATTGTAGCCGATTTTCCATGCATAATGTTGTACGTAATCTCTTTTACTAGACATAACCGAATGGTGTTTCATGCTTTAAGATTGAATCATGCATAATTTTGTACAAAATCTTCCCATTTATTGGCCTCTGTATCTTTAACCTATCCTTAAATGCTTTGCGTAGCCCTTGTTGGATTAGAACATATTTGACTTGGACTTGTCAAAGTCTAAAATTGTTCTTTTCGTTAGTTTCTCCACCTTGAACTTAGCATTCAAGATCTTTAACAATTTTGTAGCCATGACTTCAAATCTTAATCCGATAAGGTCCGAGAACCTGGTGAGAGTGAATAGTACTATATAAACAGTACTTCCATGAAGAGTACCTGTAAATAGGGCTAGTGAATAGTATCGTAAATAGTACCTAATACATAGTCTTGGTGAATAGTACCTAATGAGGAGTACTCAGTGAATAATACCCAAAATAGGTACTGCATCTGATACCAATTTGTTGTGAAAATTACCCAAAAATCAAATTGGGATTGAAATTGATACTCACACTCAAGTGAAAAATTAAAAGAACATCACAAAAGACACACACAACTTACAATGTTTGGCTACTAAAATTATGGCTTACTTCTACGACAACAATAATCAGAAATTTTCACTATGGAGTAAACCTAAGTACAAGAATAATTGTTTCAAACTTCACAAATACTCACTCCAACATAAGAGAATTACTATAATATCTCACTTTTATCATCCACAGATTTGATAATACTTAAATTGATACCGAAATATCATTCAAAGAAACCCTTATGCTTGAACACTTCAAATTCCAATTTCCCAATGCTTGAAACACTGGATGGACCTCCCTTATATACGGAACTGGGTAAGGAAGTGGACAACACAACAAAGCTGTGCAAATCTGACTGATTGTGCATGAACTAACCATTCATGCATAGCCCACATCACTTGATTTTAAGCCACCAACTTTTTTGAAATTTGATGCCAAATTTTAACTTCTTTCCAAATCCATAAAGTCTTCTTTTTTTTTTTTTCAAAGGAGGAATTTTATTTCCAATGAACAAGAATTTTACAAGAAGCAAAAGGAAAGAAACAAATTTCAATCCTATTTTACATGGCTTTAATCCTTCAAAATATCAAAATTACAATAAAACTCCACCCAGCAGCCTTCAATCTACAACAGCCAGCCATCCATTCCATCTACTCCAGAAATTATTCCAGTTTGGCACATCAACATGCCTGCATAATCATTCCATTCCTTCTACTCCAGCAAGGCACACAGCCTCCTACACCTCCATACTTCATCCATGATCATCAAAAACCAAAGTAATTTTGGTTCTCAAAACAGACAAACACATCTGATCCTGCACCAGACTTCGAAGCACAGCAGCAGGCAACTGATTGGACACAGAATAATAAGAAGAGAAACCATCATTCACTACCTGATTCACCAAAGCATCAGGTACAGAATTAGACTCCCTATATACATGTTCCAGATTAAAAACCATCCTAATGAGAATCTTTCGAATTTGATCCAAAAGGCCAAGAATAACACACCTTGCCTTTCACAATATTCACCAAAACCAAAGAATCTGATTCAATCCTAACTTTATACACAGTCAGTCCAAATCTTTCAATTAAACTCAAACCATCCAACATTGTCCTGAACTCAGCACCCTTATTGGAGCAGATACCATAATAGAAAGATGCAGCCAGTACCTTACCCCCCCATTCATTTCTCAAAACAGGCCCACCACCTGCAACCCCAGGATTGCCTTTAGCAGCTCCATCCACATTAAGCTTCAAAGCCCCAGCTTCTGGACAGACCCAACATACCCAAATAGCTCTAGTTCTAACAGCATAGGGCAAATCAATACCCAAACTCTGCAACAGAGCTCTGCCCCAATCATTATCCAGAGCCTTAGGCCTAACATTCCTCACCTGAAACCTCAACAAACTACAGACTTTGAGGAAAATAGAATAAGAATTTTGACCCTCTCCTGCTCTCCTTCTGCACCTCTCCTTCCACACCTGCCAGAACACTAACAGGGCAAAACTCCTTACCATACTATGACATACAGATCTCCTTCTAAAAATTTTGCCCAGTCTCTGCAATCTAACCAGAGGCAATTCCCCACCAATCAACTGAAAGCCAACCATATTAGCCAGTCTACTCCAAATAGACTTTACATAATCACAATCACAAACAAATGCACAGTATCCTCTACCTCCTTATAACACAGAACATCAACTTACCAAAGGAAAACCACACAACTGAATTCTAGAATCCAAAGGAAGAGCTTTCATTAACAACTTTCAACCCACCAATTGAGCACTAGGCACAGTATTCATACCCCATATAGCCTCAGCAGTGCAATTCCTCTCACCTTGATGCCTTACTAGATGCCATGCTGTTTTTAAGGAAAAAAACACCAGACCTAGAAGGCTGCCAAACAAGTTTATCAGCAAAATCAGAAAGAGACACCTGAAACTCCAGTACTTCTGTCTTCATCTGTTCACTTAATAAGCTATCACCTTGATCCAGCTGCCAACAAGAATCCCTCAACAGCTCACACACCTTAAGGAAATAATGAGGCATATTATCTAACCTGCAAATCAGAGACCCATCCCCTAACCAATGATCACACCAGAAGTCTGCCTGATCACCTTTCCCAATTAACATTCTAGACTGCATAACAACCTTTTCAAAATGAGGCCTTAAGGCCTTAAAACATTTAGAATTACCTTCATTCACACACCTCATGAGATGTCTGCCCTTTAAAAATTTAGCAGACAAAACTTGAGCCCACAGTGAAGTCCCCTGCATTAAACTCCATATCTGTTTCATTCTAAAAGCGACCTGTAAATCTTCAAACCTCCTCAAACCCAAGCCTCCCTTTGATTTAGGCAAAGTAACTCTCTCCCAAGCCACCCAATGCCTCCTAACCCCCGTTTTATTGGACCAGAGAAACCCTGCCATCATAGAATTTAACTTGTGCAAAATACCCTTAGGCAAATTCAAGCAAGCCAAAAGATGTACAGGCACAGCACTCAAAACAAACTACACCATCACAACCCTCCCCATATTTGAAAGCATTCTGGCATACCATCTCTCAAGCTTACTTCTAAACATACGTAAAATGTCCTCAAATTCCATAATCCTGGTTCTCCCTTGGATAATGGGACAACCAAGATAGGTGAATGGACATACCTTAACTGGGATACCTGCTACACCAGACAACTCCTGTCTCTTATTGGCAGAAATCAGCTTAGAACAGAACATGGAGCTTTTTTGAACACTCACCTTCTGTCCAGAACATTTCTCATAGACGCCCAAAAACCTCATCAAGTTTACCAGAGATTGCTTATAACCTCTCAGAAAAACTAAGGTGTCATCAACAAAAAACGAATGACTCACCAGAGTTGTTCCTCTTCCCAAATGGTACTCCTTAACCAGACCCTCCAAATAAATTTTCCTCAGACCTCTACTGAGCACCTCTTCAGCAAGGATAAACAGACAATGAGATATTGGATCTCCTTGCCTCAAACCCCTAGAAGTAGGAAAGAAACCCACCCTCTGCCCATTCACACAAACTGAAACATATTGACTTTCCAAACAATTAGCAATAATTTTGACAAACAAATCAGCAAAGCCAAAACAAGAAAGAGTCGTCAGCAAGAAGTCCCACTCAAGCCTATCTTAGGCTTTCATCGTGTCTAGCTTCAAAATCATGTTCCCTACCTCCACTATCCTATCCAAACTTTCCACCATTAACTGAGCCAAAGCAATACACTCTCCTCCATTCCTCCCCTTCACAAATCCATGCTGTTCAGCAGAGATCACAACAGGCAGCACACAAGCAAGTCTAGATGCCTAGAGCTTAGTAAAAATTTTGCATAAAAAATTACATAAGCTTATTGGCCTAAAATCTAAAAAAAATACTGGGTTAGACTTCTTAGGAATTAATACAATCAATGTAGCATTGACTGACCTTGGCACTTTACCTCCTTTCAAGAAGAAGTTTACAGCTCTTACCACATCCAGTTTAATGACATCCCAAGCCACCTGGAAAAATTTTCCAGAAAGGCCATCCACCCCAGGAGCACTTTGCACAGACATAGAAAATACCACATTCTTAACCTCTTCCACAGAAGCTTCTGCTAACAATTTAGCATTCATTTCCTCATCAACCATCATAGGAATCACAGAAAACACACTTTCCTGCAAACTATGCTGCTCAGACTTACACAGATTGGAGCAAAAACTCACAGATACTTCAGCAATCTCCTTGTCAGAATGAACCCATATACCAGAATCATTCTGAATCCTGCACACCCTATTTCTCACTGCCTTACCCTTTGCCACAGCAAGGTAAAACCTAGTATTCTTCTGCCCCTCTACTGCCCATCGTATAGCTGCCTTTTGTCTCCAGTAAATCTCTTCTAACTTTAATTCCTCATCTAATTCCTTTTGAACCCCTCCAATGCAAGGACATTACATACAGAGTTATCCTGCTCAATTAGCATTTCTGCTTGTTGAACAACCTCTTCCTTTCTCCTAATCCTTTCAAAAATATTACCAAAAATTCTTTATTCCACTTCTTAAGATGTAGCATCAAATATTTCAATTTTAAGAAAACATCTTCAATTGGATTTTCAGCATAACTCCCACTCCTTTTAGAAACAACAAGAGGCATAAAATCAGGATCCTCAACCCACATATCCTGAAATTTTAAATAAGATATCCTTGGTTGAACAGAATCCTGGACTCTAAGTAATATTGGGCAATGATCAGAACCCCCTCTGGCTAAATGCAACACCTCACCACTCCCAAACTTCATACACCAGCTAGGATTAAACAACAATCTATCAATCCTTTGCCACATCATGGTCTGCCCATGGTGATTATTACACCGTGTAAAGCTACTGCCAATAAACCCCACGTCCTGCAAACCAGCACTGTGCACAAACTCCCCAAACTCCTCCATAGCTACATTTGAAGGATATGCACCACCCAGCCTTTCTTCTGAATTTAAAATAGAATCAAAATCACCACCCACCATCCAGGCAGAAGAAGCTGGCACAGGCAGATCCAAAAGATGTTCCCATAAGGGTCTCCTCAAGACATAATCACAACAGGCATACACCAATGTGACATAAACCACATCAGACCCTAAGTAAGACACTTCAGTAATTAATGTCTGCTCATGCTGAGCCACAATGTGCACCTGCACTCTATCATCCCACAACACCCACATATTTCTTTCAGCTAATGGATTGAAAAAAATAATGAGGTAATCCTAGGGATATTGCAAATCCATGCAACTTATTTACCCCCATTTTTGGCTCCTGAATAGAAACCATGCAAATATCATTCATTCTCACCAGGTTTTTAAGCCTACTTCTCTGTACAGCTTTCCCAGCTCCCCTCATATTCCATGTTAAAAAATTAATCATTGAAAAAGAGAGTAAAGCTTACCTTTGGACCTCAGTCTAACAGATGCCTCACTAGAAATTTCATTCAAGGCATCAGAATCAGACTCCTCTTCTTCCAACTTCTCCATAAGAATCCTGGTTCTTCTTTCAAAATCTGAGCCTCCCTTGTCAAACATATATCCCTTATCTGGGGGATCTGTCCTCCTTTCTGACCCTATATCATCATCCATAGAAGTATTCAATCCTTTCCTTGGAGCATATTGGTGCTCCACATAAAAAGAATCCCCACATGAGGGAGAGAATTGCCTATTCACCCTGCAACCTCCTAATTCATCATGCATAACATTATGTGTTATCCACTTTTCTTTGTCACTATAAATATACCAAAAAAAAAAAAACCTTATTGTAAAACTCAATTATGTAATTACATTCTTAGATACCACATGCATTATCAATTGTCAAGTCTCACTATAATATGGACTTTAGATAGATTGACACCACATATAAATTGTGAGACCCTTTTATTTTTTTTCAAAGAGGAATTGTTCCTATCACACATCATTAAATTATGACCATCATCGTAGTTTGTCCTTCTATTATTAAGTTGCTCATATATTGCCTCACTTAACTAATGGAATTAGTTTATCATCGCCTCTAAACCACAAATGCCCACTACATAGTTATCAAAATTGTACAATTCACGATTTGATTCGTACGATTCAGTTCGATACAGGTACAAAACGATTTGTATCTTATACGACAATTGTTTTAGAGTTAAATCGCGCCTGAATCGTAAGATTCATACGATTCGATTCGTATCTCACGAAGCGCACGATTCAATCAATTTTTTTAAGACCCAAATTTTTTGTAAAACGATGTTGTTTTGTCCGCTAAACAATAAAATTATGTCATTTTATTTACAGAGAAACTCACGCCCTAAAAGAACTCAGCCCTGCCTAACATCGTCTAAATCTCGCCTTGCGTTGTCTAAAAGTAAAGGTCACGGCTAACGCTCTCAAATCATCAGTTGATTTTTGCTCTCAATTCTTTCATAAGTAGTTTGTTATGTTCTAATTTTTTATTTCAATATGTTGACTAGTATGTTTTCTCCCAATCAATTTTTTTATTTATTCTTTTTTCATTCATATTTGTAACTTAATCTATACTGGGTGTCATTATTTTGATTCTTGAATAACCATAGTTCTTTAATGAATTTTTTTTTCAAGTTGTTAAATTTGAAAATAGTTAAGCAAAAGATGAAAAAGAACAAAAGACTAGCGTCTTTCCATTTAGACGATGTGATTATGTCAATTTATTATTTTTAAAATGTAATAATGTTCAATATTTAATATTTTATTTATTTTAAATATGTAGTATTATTTTTTATTTTTGTTCAAATTTTGTATCGAATCTTACGATTCACGACTCAATATGATTTACGATTCTCAAATTTAGAATTCCGATTCACGATAGAAATCGCGATTTACCAACTATTGCCCACTATATTTTCAATGGCAAATACCCATGTGCCATCGGATTTTTGAGGTAGATTAAAACAAATTCAAATAGTCAAAGAGCAAAAAGATGCAACTTTCCATCCAGTTTTTAGTAGTAATCAGAGTAATATGAAAGCAATAAATATAATTGAAGGTGAAATATGAGAAATGTAACAAATTGAAAACGAAATGTAGATAGAGACAAAATTGAGAGATCAAAATATAATTTTTTTGATAGAATTGTGTTTTTTTTTTTTGGCCCAAATTGATAGATCTTGCCTATGATATGGAGGGGTACTATCTCTTCAATGAGAGTTTCACCGCTATTTCTAGAGAATCTCCCCTGAGCTAGTCTCGGTCTTCTTTCTCATTCATCATCACCACCAATCCCAGCATTGAGCCCTAAGTTATAACCACCATTGACGTAATCTGCTCTCCATGGATTCTCTATTCCCATTTCTTCTTCTTCCTGGTGATACCCCAGATTGAACCTACACCATAGCCACATCACACCCCATTTGGTAGAATAATTTCCATACCTAATCTAGAACTTCCCAATCCCAATTGCGTCAACACTCAAACAATTATCTATATCCTAGAAATCATCATTTCCTCACACATCCCTGGGGTCTGAACCATTCACTTCGATCAAAACCTTTTTCGCTTTTCAAACCATCATTCTCCATACAAACCTTTTGGCTCAATCCTACCTAGTTGAGCTCAATAAAGCAAGATTCAAGTTCTCAGAATAACCCTCTACCTCGCCTCTCCCTATTCTTAAACCCATCAACAGTCAAAGAATTCCAATAATCCTATTTAATGGGTAAAATTTTGACAGAGACCCCCATTGAATAAGAACGAAGTAGGGAATGTTCTTATGAAAGCCTGGAGGACACATAAGGGATTCTCCATCACGCATTGGGAGAAGAACATATTCCTCTTCGATTCCAAATCTGAGGTAGACAGAGATAGAATCCTTGAGGAAAGCCCGTTTTAGTTATGGGCAACTTGATTATATTAAAGAAATGCCCTCCAACTCCACTATTAGAGATTTTATGTCCAACTCTGCTGAGTTCTGGGTTCAAATATGGGGACTCCCATTTTATATGATGACTAAGAATAAATCCTAGAGACTAAAGGAATTTCTGGGAACCCCAACGAAGCAAGAAGAGTTCAAAGAAGACTTACTACTAACTAGGAATTATATGCGGGTTCGCTGTAATAAATTGATATTACAGAGCCACTTAAGAAGGCTCACCGGCACGTCATGTTAATGATTACGTGAGAGTAGGCGATGCCTGTGCTAGAACAAAGGGCAGCCCCAACAAGCTGTCAAATGGTGGAGCGAGCCCCCCATTGTACGAGAATCCACTAGCCTCTGCTTGCCTTCCACTTGGAGTCGACTCCTCAGCGATTCAATCTCTCCAAAATATTCTTTAGCGAGGTACATAAGAGTGGGTAATGGAGATGAATCAGTGATGGTCTTATCTGGTACTGAAGTGTATAAGGAGTTAGGGGATACCTCTTGTGAGCTTGAGGACCCCACATGTGCTGAAAAGAAGACCCAATTAGTAGATGGGTTGGGCTCAGGTAAATTAGGTACTTCGTTACCAAACCACCAGAGAGCCCAATAAGTGAAGCTACCCTGTTAGATGTTGTCCCAAGCCTTTATTGGAAAATCCAGTAGACCTAAGGAAAATGCACCTGAAACCGAAGGGAAAGCCCATATCTATACAAATATCCAAAAGCCTAAAGGAATAGAGAAGACTTTGGCCCAAGTTTTCCAAAAATTGTGTCTCGAGCGTAAGTCTTTTGAGACTCACAGAAAGGAGGATGAGATCGACAGTAAGCTAAATAGAAGGAGGACGCCCTTAAAGGTATTTCATCTGGCTTTAACAGTTTAATCCCTTCTAATCTAAATGAGGTTCCACTTCCCAATTCACCCCCGGGGGTCGAGGTAATTATAGGGTAAAGGTCGTCTACAGAAGTAATTTTCTTAATATAGGTAAGGAAAAAGCTAAATAAGGGAAAGGGAAACCCTACTAAGAGGTTTTCGTTAGAATCCTTAGTTGATGTGGAAATTAGAGAAATTGAGGGTACTACAGAGGTAAAAGATGAGTGAGATTTGCAAATTTGTATGTCCTATTGGGTTTCCCAGGCCCCAAGCTCCATTCCGGATGACTCGGTTGCTCTCTCAAGCAAAGAAGAGGTGGTGGTGGCTGGCCCTTAACAGCCACTTGAGAAATGTTAGTTATCTATTGGAACTGTCAAGGAATCGAGTAACCCCAGAACATGGATCAAAATTTTGTTGGTGTATTGTTTCGGTCACCTAGGAAATAAAAATGTTTCAATATGTTTTGGAAACGTTTCGAACCATTTCAAAAATAGAATTAAAATAAATAAAAATTTTAAGAATTATTTTTTCAAAACATTGATCGAAATATACCAATATCTTGAAATACCTTAAAATATTTAGAAATAATTGTACAAATGCATTGAAATATAACAAAATATTATGGAATACCTCGAAGTATTAGAATTTTGATTTCATCATTAATTTATTTTGTTCTCCTTGAAAACAGAAACGTTTCGGATGTTTTGACCGTTTCGAAACGATATTTTAATCCTTGCCCCAGACACTTCAAACACTACGAGGGATTATTCAATCCCATCGTCCACAAATGGTTTTCCTTATGGAGACCAAGAATAATGTGGAGAAACTAGAGAAGTTACGCCATTCTATGAATTACATAAATTATGTATATGTTGATCCCATAGGATTATCTGGAGGTTTATCACTGGAGTAGAATGACAATGTGGAGGTGCATATTGGTTTTAAAAATTAGAATATCATCAATACATGGTGAAGAGTAAGACAGCCACCGACGAGACGTCAATTATCTTTCCTTTTATGCTGAGCCCGACTTTGAAAAGAGGCAGAGAGTATGGAGGTTTTTGTGCTCATTGGCCTAGGATCAATCTTTCCCCAAGGTTCCTCCTACACATGGTCTAACAACAGGGAAGGCGTAGCAAACGTTCAAGAGAGAATTGGTAAGGCATTGGTCAACTCTATTTCCCTCAAACTCAGGTGATCTACGAGACAAAACTGGGCTCAGACCATTGCCCAATTGTTGTCAATTTTGGTATGAAAGCACCTACAGTCCCATACCGATTTAGATTCGAGATAATATGGCTGGAATCAACTACTTGTGAGGAGATCATCAAAAAATGCTGGTCCTCTGGATTACAACCCAAACCTGGTATATATCCAACACAAATTGAAGGAGTGTAGTACCAATCTTCGAAAAAGGAGCAAGGAAGCCTTTGGGAATAGCAGAAAGAAATTGGATGAGCTTAATCCAAGATTAGCGACAGTGCAGATAAGAACCCCTACAGTGTACTTTCTGAACCTGGAGAAAGAGTTGTAGGACCAGATAGATTCATTGAGAAGAAGGAAGGAAATGTAGTGGATGCAACGTGCCTTCTCGGATCAACTGGTTAAGGTATGGAAATCAAAACACCAAATTTTTTCATTTAACCACGACCCAGAGAAGGCACAGAAACCAAATTATCAGATTGAAATCAACGGATGGAGAATGGATTGTGGAAGAAGCAGCCCTAAACTCTCATATCTCTGAATATTTTAACTCACTGTTTTCTACTGCAGGGGCGAGGGATTTTAATGAAGTCCTTGAAGTAATCCCCCCGGTCTCTGATGATATGAATTCTAGGGTGTTGTGCCCTGTGTCTGAAAGTGATACTGCGAGGTACTAAACAGTTGGGTGATCTTAAAGCCCCTGGTCCTGATTTGCAAGTGGAGGGGAAGTATGCAGGGTAGTCCAAAAATTTTTTGCATAAGACATGCTGCGGCCAGAGGTGAATAAAACCTGTTTAGTGCTTATACCCAAAGTTTTTGCACCAGAATCGCTCTCCCAATGTCAACCCATAGCTCTATGAAATTTTATTTACAAGATCATCTCCAAAATTCTGGCAAATAGACTGAAAGGGATTCTTTGTCATTTGGTCACTCCAAACCAGGCAGTTTTTGTTCCACAATGTTAAATCCAAGACAGTATACTTATCGCAAATGAAGCATTTCATGCCTTGAAAATCAAATCAGGGAAAGAGAAGTTAATGGCAATTAAATTAAATCTCAACAAGGCGTATGACAGAGTCGAGTGGAATTTCTTGGAGGCTGTTATGCGGGATTAATAATGATTGGATAAACCTTATCATCCAGTGTGTCACTACAGTAAACTTTGAAGTGCTAGTGAATGGGGCTTGCAGATGTGAATTTATACCGAAACAGGGCCTGAGACGGGGTGACCCAGTCTCACCTTACCTCTTTCTCCTAGTGGCGGACGTGTTGTCCAGACTTACATACAAAGATCTCCACGAGAGGAGTATATCGGGCATGCGAATTAAAAAAAGGAGTCCAACTCTTTCCCACCTCTTTTCGCTGATGACTCACTTCTTTTTCTGAGGGCCAATGAATAGGAGGACTGTCACCTAAGAAACACTTTGTCTAGATATTGCATAGCTTCGAGGCAACTTATTAATTTTCAAAATCGGGAGTGCTGTTCTCAAAAAATACACCTGCGGTTGAGAGAGCTATTTTGTGTGAAAAACTGGAATCGATTCCCTTCCAAGTAATGCGAAGTACTTGGGAATCTCGTCCTTCTGGGGGCGTTCTAAAGTGGAAACCTTCAACTACCTAGTTGAGAGGGTAATGTAGAAGATTCTGAGGTTGGAAGGAAGGGTACTTGTCCCAAGCCGGAAAGGAGATTTTGATCAAGGCAGTGGTGAAGGCAATCCCCAGCTACGCCATGTCCTGTTTAGCATTCCCTTGCAAGCTGTGCAACAAACTGACATCTCTGGTTCGAAGTTTCTGGTGGGGTAGGAATTCGGAGGTTAAAGATATTCATTGGAAAAAGTGGGACGAGTTGATCCAAAATCCAAATTTCTATAGGGCGCGCATCATGAATTCTATTTATTTTCCTAACACTGATTTATGCAGGCAAGAAGGGGAGCTAGGACGTCTTGGATGTGGAGCAGTCTCCTCTGGGGTAGAGATCTGCTAGTTAAAGGGATTCGATGGCAAGTCCGCTGTGGAAATAAGATCAACTTTTGGGATGATAAATGGGTGCCCACTCTCCCAAACTTCAGATTAGCCTCCAACAAGCCTCCAGATTGTGAAATAACCTTGGTGAAAGATGCCATCTCTATGGATGCAAGAGCCTGGAACGCCGATGCCATTAAGCCTTTGCTGAGGCAGGAGGAGGGGACAGTAATTAGCAGTATCATAATATCCATTATGTCGGGGAATGACCAACTAATTTGGCACCCCAGTCCCAAAGGGCTATATTCACTAAGGTCGGGTATGCTTCAGCTAGGGAGGAAAAGCAATTGAGGTTGAAGGACAAGGGGAACCCCTCTAATACTTTACACCCAAGGCTGTGGAAGCTAAAATGGAAGCTTAATACAACCCCAAAGGTGAAGCAATTCTGGTGGAATGCAAATACCAATGCACTAAATACTCAAGAAAATTTGTTCAATAAGTGTGTGCCTTCCCCAATATGTAGTATATGCAACAACAAGCCAGAATCAGTGGACCATCTGCTTTTCTCATATGAATGGGTTCAGAGAGTGTGGTTTGAGTGTGAGTTGGGGATTAGATTGAAGCAGCTGGGGGTCATCTCCATTCAGAAGTGGACTTCAGAACTGGTGGAGCCAACGACAGGATATAAACAAGCGTTGAAAGTCCTGGGTAAGGTAGCTTTCAGCGGGTGGACTATTTGGAAAATAAGGAATGAAGCCATCTTTCAACAAATATCACCCAATCCTATGATTGCCGTCAAAAGAGCAAATCTGGGGTGGGGAGAATACAACCACTCCAGATCTTCTTGGCCCAGAAATCTATCTATTCTGGAGTTGTGAGCTGATTTACCCATTCCTCATGGGCTCCCCCTGCTCCAAACTTGGTAAAATTCAATTGTGATGGCGTTTTTAACCCAAGAACCTCCAAAGCCGCAGTGGGAGTTGTTTGTAGAGATGCTGAAGGGCGCTTCTTGATGGGGTTTCGTTTGTAGTTCTAGCAGTGTTCAGTCTTTATTCCGAAGCTGCTGCTCTACGTGAAGCTTGTGTTTTGGCCCTCTCTTGGAAACTTACTTGAGCCACAATTGAAAGTGACAGCCAAGCGCTATTCAGTTGTGTACAGAAGAAGATGCTCCCTCTTGGGAGATAGCAGAATTCATAGACAACATTAAGGAGTCGGTAGTAGCTTTAGAGCTAACACTCAAATTCGGGCCTAGAAGCTACCAATATGGTAGCTCATTGGGTGGCCAAATCTAATCCTTATCACCCCTTGCCTTAAGACTGGGTGGCTAATCCACCACCTGAGCTTAGGGATTTGATTTTATCTGATTGTACTTAATCTTTTGTTAGTTAAATGAAAGTTATTTTCCATTTCAAAAAAAAAAAAAAATAGAATTGTGTCCATCAAATCAAACTATGAAGAGTCTTAAATAAACACCTGGCCATCATCAGGCAATGCAAGGGCAGTGGTAAGTAGAGAGTATCCAGTGAAAACACCAATCTCCAATGTCTTCTTGGCATTCATTATTTTCAAAAGCAAAGACAGCAACAATCCTTCGTCAGGCGGCACATTCAATCGAGCTCTATAATAGTCAACAATAAAAACGTTTGAGCAGGAAGCCCAATCAAGAAAAAAATATTGTATCCTATCGAAATATATCTTTTGGAAATTTTTTAAAATTGTACCCACAAAAATTTTATAACATTATCATTGTAGAACAAATGGCAGTAAATTACTTTGAGCTGGAGGATCTTGCGCACACAAGGCACAGTAGAAGGCTAAAAAAATAATAGTAGAGACAAAATAAGTCAGACTCAAAATTAAGCAAAACTAGCGTCATTTGATCTGGACCGGGCCAATGATCTAGACTCATCACTTTTCCACAAGCTCCTTCAACTTTGGGTTGAATTTCATCGTTTAGACCTTCAAATCCTCATTTTTGTCTTTTTAGGAAAAAATTTAGAAATTAATAATAAATCATAAAAAATTCTGAATTTAATGCGGTCAATTTTGGTAGGCTCCAAATGGCACGTGATTATTTTTTGATTAGTTTGACTGTAATTCTTTCTCTTATTTGTGGATTTAGAGTGTGTATTTCTTCCGCAAGGAAACAATGATTTCTTTTTATTATATTTTACTGTTGCATCAATTTTATAACTTGTTATTTTTTAAGGCCCCATTTTAATAGTCATGTTTGGGAAAGTGTCTCTCTTCATGTTAAGGTCTCTCATTAATGCTATCAGCTTTTTTGAGAAGGTTTATATTCTGTTTATTGTATTTCTTCTCGATTTCACTCAACAGTACATAATCTACTCTATACGTGCAATTTTAACCGAATTTAGAGTAAGAAGAAGTCTGAGCTTATAAAATAGGAAATTGTGACCAACTCCATGCAGATGCAGGAATCACCTAGGGCCATATTTGTTGAATGAAGCCTCCCTTAGCTCTTTGAGTTGCTCATGCTCTCTTGGATATGCAGTGGTATCTAAGATATACTGCCAAATCAGAAAAAAAAAAAAAAAGAAAATGTGAAATGAGTAAATGGAGAATACACATAGACCCAAATATTTACATTTTTAAACAATTCTATTTCTATATATCGCACTAAATATGCTGCATTTTGATTTTCGAAGTTATTCTAAATTGACATATATTATTAGTTTACTGCAGAGGGGGAGAGAGTGACGGAGAAGGTGGGGAGAAAGAAATAATATGTGGAATTAAGGAGATAAAATTCTATAAGAGATAGGAATACAAAATATTATTTTGTTCTCACTACTATGTAATATAATCACAATAGCACATTTAGCAGACATTTGCCAAAGAGGGATTTGATATAGAGGTATACATAGATTTAAGTAAAGAATTTCTTTAATTTTTTTATTTTTTTTTGATAATATAGTGTAAAATCCTAAATCTATTTTTGTTTCTTTGTATAACTTAACCACATGATTTTGTGTGATGCAGCAAGTAAAGCCCTATCCACGTGGGGGCCATAGGCATTAGGCAAGCTTCTCACACTCGCCTAAGGGTTGGGCCGAGAGAGGAGAACTGAGAAGAAGATAGACAGTCTACTAAGCAAATCCCAATTCCAGGGGGAAACCTTCAATACACAAAGAAAATAGAGAAAGGGTTACTTGCCTGATACCCCAAACATAAATTCCTATACCTTTATAGGGCTGGAATAATAAAAATATAATTAAAAAAACTACCAAATCTGCTCCCTTGAATACAGCTTGCGCGAGATTGTCATGAATCTTTCTTACTTGAATGCAGCTGGTGTGAGTTCCTCGGCAAAGATTAACCAAATCTTTGAAGGTTGGGCTGAATTTCGGGGTCTAACTCCATGGGCACACATCAGGAAGAAACTATGATATTCGGTCATTCTCAATTCAATTACAATTGAAATAGTTTCATAGAAAAGGAAAAAAAAAAAACAAGAATATTACAGAGCAATTGAACCATTACATGTCTCGACTGTGATGCACATACGACTGAAGTGAAAGTAAAAAAGAATAACGTAACTCATAATTTGGATATGGGGCAGTAGTGGCTGCTCACCTTTTGAAGAACCTCGCTCTTGAGAACTGTCTTCACAATGGTATCCTCCATGATCCAAGCGTTGGGAAGCCAGCAACAAAAACACCTATCTATCCATAGAGATTGAGGGGCCATGATTAAATATTTCGTTTTTTCTACGGAAACGTTTTCATTCCCTTAAAACCGAAACACCCGTTTTACGCTCAAATCTCAAAACATAAATAAAATAATTTTTAGATTACAATTCACAATTCAAATTTTAAAAGATAAATAAAATAATTTTTACTATTCACAGTTGAGATCATTTTAAATTTTATTTTAAAATTAATCTAACGGTTAATATTAAACCCAAAATTTAATAGAAAAAATAGGTCCCTAAAAATGTGTTTGAAGTGACTTTTTAAAAGTACTTCTACGAATTATTTCTCATAAATACTTTTAAAAAAATAATATTTGAAACCGTCCCACCACCACCATTACCTTTACCACCACCACCATTGTCGCCGCCACCACCACCGTCGCTTCCACCGCCACCGCCACAACCGTCACCGCCGTCACCACCACCACCGCCACCACCACCACCGCCACCCCCATCGCTACCATCGTAGCTATCATCACCACTACTGTCGCCACCACCCCCATCACCACTGCCACCACCACCAACGCCTCCGCTGCCGCCACTACCACCATCATCTCCTACCACCACCACTATTGTCCACCACCTCTCACCACCACTACAAATTGATGTTCAAATTTATTTATTTTTTCTTTATGTTTGTGATTTTATTTTAGATATGAATATAAATATATTATTGTTTACCATTTTTTATTACTTTGTACCTTCAAGTACAGGCAATAACTAGTCTATATAATAAAATGACTTATAATTCAAATCTCAAAAGATAAATCAAATGACTTTTGTTATTCACAGTTGAGATCACTTTAAATTTTATTTTAAAGTTAATCTAACAACTAATATTAATACCTTAAATTTAATAGAAAAAATAGATCTTAAAAGTGTGTTTGGAGTCACTTTTTAAAAGTGTTTTTAGAAATTATTTCTCATAAATACTTTAAAAAAAATAGTGTTTGAAACTGCCCCACCACTACCTCTATCACTACCACCACCACCATCGTCGCCACCGCCACTGCCACCGCCGTCACTCCCACCATCGCCACAACCACCACCACCGCCGTCACCATTGTCATCGCCGCATTACCACCACCATCCTCGCTGCCACCACTGCCACCATAGTCATTGCTACCTACTACAACAATCATCGTTTCTTACCATTACCACTATCGCCTACCAGCTCTCTCCCCCACTACAAAATTGATGCTTAAATTTCTTCATCTCTTATTTATATTTGTGATTTGATTTTGAATATAAATACAAATATATTTATTGTTTACCATTTTTATTACTCTATGCCTTTAGGCGCAGGCAATAACTAGTTATTGAATATTTTTCATTGGCTCCCTTTGAGGGGTCGCAGGGGCAAAAGGCTAACCGACGAACCAAAGTTTGACAGGATTGAAACAATGCAGCCCAACCTAAAAAGTTGTTGGGATAAAAGACGGCAGTGAACCACTACGTACTTTCTTTTTCTTTCTTTCTTTTTTTTTTTTTACGGTTAAAGGTGGTGTTTAAATTAATTTACATACATCTTGATTAATTTTTTATTAAGTTAGTTAAAGATAGATCATTCACATCGGGACTAAAATATTCATGAGAGATAATTCATTTACAACATAAAGTATATATTGGGTATAACGGTAACACTACATCATTATTAACACATGATGTTATTATCTAATAATAAACTTACACATGGGTAATATGAACCCCACCACGTCTTCATGACTCACAAAGAATAATGTTATGCTTCTCAAATTATATTTCAAAAAACTCATCTCAAATGAATTGACACCTTCATACAACACACATTGTGGAGCCCCTCAATCAGTATTTTTATAAAATATGTGGTGTGTGAAAGTGTCAACTAATTTGGGATGAGTTTTACAATTTGGAAAGTGTAGCGTTATGAAATGACATGACATGATGGTTAGTATACTATGTAAGATTTACATGCTTATTTGTTATAATTTTATTGGATAATGACACCACGTGATAATGATGATATGGTCTCATCGTTACACCCAATATTTTTTTATAATCTAATCCTAAAAAATTATCAAAATTCAAATATAAAATGTCTAAATTTATAAGTCGTCCTTCAAATTAACCACGAGGACTTTCACTGTAATGCTCCCCAAGCATCATTTTCTTTGTCATTGATAATAGGCCTTTCCAAACAGTATAAGTTCTGATTTGCTACGACTTCACATGGATTAAATCACATTTGTTTCTGATTGAACACTAACATATAGTGGAGTTGCCTGCCAAAGGGCAGACCTATCACAAATTGATACAGTGGATCGTAGTGAACCCCGGTTAGACAAGTTCCAATAATGACGTGTTGTGTTCGAGTATTTGCTGTGTTCGAGCGTGTAATGTAGTCCATGGAACTTCAAGGAAATCGGGGTGTGTGTGTTTTGCTCAGAGGGACAGACAAAGAGAGAGATTACCTGGAGGCTGGAAGTGACTGGTGTCAGTGGGGAGTCTCACTGTAGAGAGAGAAAAGAGAAATGGGGCACGTGCACAACATGGGTTGGCTAGCTATTTTTTTTTGGGTAAATAATATTTTTAATTTCTAAAATATGTATTTTTTTATCTGTTTAGTCCTCAATGTATCAATTTTATCAATTGATCACAAAAATATTTAATTTGTGTCATTTTATTCCCACGTAGATGGACCGTTAAGTTTTTTTATTTTTATTTTTTGTAGAAAGTAGCCACGTGTCATTATCACTTAATCGAACACATATTCATACTTTTTCTATAAACTAAAAATTAATTTAATAAATATAATAATAAAAATTACTAAAAACATCTCTTTTTATATAAGAATTAGAGGTTTTTCCCAAACCCATGCCCCCTCAAAACTTAATGCCCAAAACTAGTCATTTTTAAACTTAATTTTTAAACTCAGTCATTTTTTAAAAACGTCATTTGAAATGACGATTTGAAGTTTAATTTTTTTTCCTGAAAACATCATTACTAATAACGTTTTTAAAGTCGTCATTCAGAATGATGATTTTAAACTTGATTTATTTAAACGGCAGTAACATACGTTAAATTATAAAGGGGATAAAAACGTCATTTAAAATAATATTTTTAAAAACGTTATTTACACTAACGATTTGAACGTTATGTCCGATCCCTTATCAATTGTCAAATCACTTCCTAGGTTAAAAATTTTAAAAAAATTTCACCTTTCCTCCACAAACGACTATTTTCACCTCTCCTCCTCCACAAACGACGGTGATCTCTCCTCCTCCACCAAACACAGAGATCCAGCGGCTTCTCCGACAAGCTCCAACAACCCTTGATCCGACGAGCTCCAAGCATTGTTCATCTAGCGAGAACCACCTAGATCTAGCCACTTCATCCACCTAAATCCAGCCACCCAGTCAGCCACCGAGAGATTCATCCTCTTCATCCACCAAGATCCAGCCACCGAGATCTAGCCTATTCATCAACGAGTCAGAGATTTTGCCCTAAATCGATCCAAAACGCCGGGTATGTTATTATCAGACCTAACAAAATTTTGCTTGTGCCTTCAAAATCAGAGCTTCCAATGACTAACATTACAAACATGTTGTCCAATTTGAAGTTGAATCCAATGGCCAAGGGGTTTTTTCCTTCGTCCTATAATCGTGACCAATTGGAGAGTATAAAATTTTTGATTCCCTATTTTTGACTGAATGGACTATGACTGCCACTGCTCTGAATTCCATTTTGCATTTTGATTGATCGATCTTTGTTAGTTTATCTTCTCGGATATTAGTTTTGTTTTGTGTTTCTCTGTAAAATTTTAGTCTTTAAGGATTTCATATTTAAAATTCTTATTATTATTGTTAGTTATAAATGCAATTTCAATTGATACTGAATTTTCAGGTCTTTTGTTGTAGATAGGTTTTAGAATTCTGCCTTGTAATTTACAAATTCATGTGGACATAGGATTAACTCTTGAACTGTTCTTCCTCGATGTCTTTGCTGAAGATATTCTCCTCCACAGCTTCAGCCTTACTAGGGCTTGAGCAATCACAGTGACAGTGTCTTTGCAACTTCGTCGTCCATCCAACCAAATTTTCAAATATCTATCACCTTTTCTAAAACGTATATTGTACGAGTTCAAGAAGAAAATATTCAGACATATATACACACTTGTATATGTGTACGTATACGAGTTTGTTTGCTGGCACAATGCGCAAATGTATTTGGTCTCTCAATAGTTTCCATGAATTTCCTGGAAGTAGAAATGAGCTCTGAAAATTTAACCAGAATTAGCGTTAAGGTTAGAAGACGAGGAGGATGGAAGAGAGTGAGAAGTCAAGACCGTTAGGTTGTGTGACGTCGTCAACGACTATTGGTTATGAATTGGCTAGATCAGTTAGGCCTCAAACTGTAGTCTTTGCTTGATAACTGAGTTTCCAACATGCAATAGGTTTGTATTGTGAAAAAATTGTTGCAAAGATAGATCCACCTAACAAAACTTTGCTTGTGCCTTTTATATTCTCTTGGGTATAAAATGCAATTTTTGTGAGATGAGGCTATAATAGAGTTCCAAATGAAGCATGAAACATGCATTGTTTTTTATTTATTATATCTATTGTCTTATTTTGTATAACCAAGTCATGACCTTGGTTCAGTTAAGTGAATTGTTAACAACTTTACCTTCAGTACCGTGGTTGTTATATAAGTGTACGTTAACAATATAAGAACAATCCTGCTTATCCGATATTCGTGGTGGTCCCCAAATTTCTTTTGAGTATTCTACATTTTCTCCACAGAGCTTTAGATCCTTTTGTGGTTTTATTCTTTAAGATTAAGGTTTTCTAACAAATTAGACAATTTTTTTTTCTGGGGTTGATAATTTTTGTGTCGTGGAATAAAATTGTGCAACAGTGAACTGGGTAGCCTATATTTTTTTTTTTTTTTGTTTTTTATTCATTCATCCCATGACATTCCCTCTTGAGAGATTTTGTAAAGTCCATATTCATTGTAATAT